TATATATGGGTTGAGCTAAAATCTTCATACCATCTTTTAATCTTTATCATGATCCCATGAAACAAGTATTTTATTCCCATTTTCAGGTAGCCAAACTAAGGTTTAGAGGGTCAAGACTTTGCCTAAGAATTAGAGTTTTAGTGGGGAATTCAGGCACTCTGAATCCTGACATGTATTACCTCTATGGTGTAAGACTTGTACAGACCTTATGTTCTTTTCTTTGTCTAACTCTATCTTGTTCTCTCTTTTCTTTTTTTCCTTCTATCCTAGGGATTGAACCCAAAGCATTTGCATTGATCCACATGCCCAGCCCATTTTGTTGTTGTTGTTTTGTTTGTTTGTTTGTTTGTTTGTTTTTTAAGCAGAGTCTCACTAAGTTGTCCAGGTTGGGCTTGAACTTGTGATCCTCCTGCCTCAATTTCTCAGAGCTAGGAGTACAGGCATGGGCCACCACCTCCAACTTCACTATTTTAAGTCACTATTCACAACTTCACTATTTAATATGTGAAGCATAGTTTAACCAGTTCTTGACAACCTAGGGTTACCATCCTGACTATCAGTGACTGTTTAATGAAATTATTCTCTTTTCATCCCTTGCTTTCTGTCAGTAGTCAACTCTGTGGTTGTGCCCACTTCTGGCAGCTCAACCTTTCCACTTTACTACCATTTACTACCACATATCCTGCAATGATGTAAGGAATATGACCACTCCATTGGCTAAAACCATTCGCAAAAAAGTCAAAGTACTCCAGATGGCTAACTGGGAGCATCTCCAGTCCACAGTACATGGACTTCATGGAAAAAATACTTCAAGGGATCAGAGACCTTTTCCTTTTCTTCTGTAATGAGCATTGCTATGTCCCCAGGTGGGTGAAACTAGAACACACAGCCAAAATTACTAAAAGCTACTTATCTACAATAAAGTATTTGTATTATAGGGTTCTCATGTGTTAGCATACATACAATACACTTCCTGAAAACATGAAAAGAAACAGTACATAGGCTATGAGAAAAATTCAAGGGAGGAAAAAGTGTTTTACTTATCCATAGACTTTATCTGTGTTGCCCTTGTCAATGTAGACTGGTGAGAGTTAAATAGTAAAAACAAAGAACTCCATCTTACAAAAGAAAACAAGCTAATAGAAAACTGAAAAATAAGATAAATCATTTTAATTTTCTTCCCCTTTCTACAGGCACATTTCTTACTTTACTGAACTATCCAAGCATATGGTTCAGAGTGTTTGAAGAAAACATCATACAGTAATTGTTCTGGAGCTCATAAGTAAGTGTATTTTCCTACAATTTTCTTTATGGCTTTTTTACATTGTTGAAATATAAAGCAAAAAGCATGCAAGAGAATAATCAATGAAAGTTTGACAGAAATTCATATCTCATATTCCTGGAATTTGAAAATGAAATCAATTTCCTGGTCCAACGTGCAGTTGTTTCATTTGTAAAAATAGTTATCCAGAAAACTCTTACTTTTTTATTGATTTTATCATAGAACACCCTGACAGTCACGTTCATGTTAAGCTTTACAATGTATGGTGTATTACTGTGTATTAAAGTATCTGTGAGGAAATTAAAATTATAAAGCATAACGTCAGACTGTAACTTAATCTGTACTTATGCTAGTATAAAAATCTGTACACATGAAACTATGAGTTAATATGTGCTATTTCTTCCAAGCAACAAATATGAGAAAAATTACTTAAGGTTACTATAGTGTCGCTATCAGATATTCTGTATTCCCAAAAGACTCTATGGTTTATATGTACACAATCAGAAAAATCTGCTGTGCACATTATTCAGTGATTATCACAGATCACTGCCATAGCTTATGGGGAGACACTTTTCCACTCTCAGGCAAGACTAAAACAGATAGGACCAACTCAACTGTACAAAAAAGCTCCTCTCAAGAATAAGGAGTGGGTCAAAACACATACCTTTCCTCCTCTTCCATGGAGCACTCTTCAATATTTCAAAGTGACACTGTGTAGTGCTGTCCCCCTGCCACAAGTGTGGTTGAAAAATGGCCTGATGTGATGATAGCACATCACTGAAGCCAGATGTAAGACCACAGCAAGTTGTGGTTTTGTTTCTTTGTATTACAAAGTTTTCTCTTTACTTTAGAAGCTTCAATTATGTTTCTAGTGCCACTGTATTTTTCCACTAGAATTCCACACCTGATTTGGTACTTCAGAGCATCCTTAAGGACTGTGACGTGTTCACCAATTCTCTCTTCAACACCTTAGCTAGCATGATTTTCTGGGATTATGATCTTGTTACTGAACGTTCAGCAAAGCTCTTAAAATAAAGCTTTGCTGTCACATAATGATTGTGTGTGTGTGTGTGTGTGTGTGTGTGTGTGTGTGTGTGTAGCCAGGGATTGAACTCAGGCCCTTGCACTTGTCAGGATTCAGCTGAGCCATCTCCCCAGGCCTCCATGAATTTTATTTTATTTTTTTAAAATAATTTTATTGAGAAACAAATAGCAATGTGACAGTTTCAAAACCAATTACTAGCATAGTTTCAATAATTGATACATTGCAATTGTTGTCTTAGTGGTTATTCATTGTACAAGATGCAGACATGATATCCTGTCAGCAAACACTATTAGAACAAAATTCTCTATTCATTGAATTAAGAGAATGCAGCTGTATATCTATCCTATTTTGAATATACAGAATTGTATCTACCTTTTTCGTTTAGTTTCTCTGGAAGGGTATTCCATTGTCAATTAAATATTGTAGGTGCATGAATTCAGCAAAATATTCCAATATAGGCCAGTGATCCATAATAGCAGTGGGTTTTCCATAGGACTGGCAATGTCAGAAGTTATTGACTTGAACCTTTTACAGCTCAGCATGTTAATATGGCTTTACTTTTTATACTTCGTTTTTATACTTTTCTGCTGGATGGTTAAGACCAAGATAATCCCATGAATTTTATAACAGATAAATGGATTAAGTTAAAACATTCAGCATTTGTACTATAAGGAAAGGGTTTTTTTTTTAATAAACTATGTTCTATAACCTCTTATTTCTTGATTTATTAGTCTTTAAACATTATTTCAGAAATTAAACAAAGAATGTAAGAAATGCAGCCAACTCTTTACCACTAGTATAACTTAGACTTAAATTCTTTAATTCCAACATGCGAGGCTATACTGTACCTTTTGAACTATTTTAAGATCATGGTGAACTTCACAAGCCAACAGATTTAACTTGAGTGTTATCAGTGACAAGGCCTAGAAACTGTATAGCAGAGATCATATCAACTATTCCACGCAGGCAGTTTTACTCTAATAACTCCAAATTGATGATGTATACCATCAAATTATTAGTCAAGAACTCTGCAAAGGAATCTGATGACACTGGAAATTCATTGAACTTTACAATTATTCATTTGGGAGAAATTACTCAATATATAACTATTTCTTCTTATGGATAGGAAAGTAAATTATGACAAATAACCAGTTGTATTACCCATCATAAAAAAGTTAAGATTTTCTTTACATATCTATTGCTGAACTTAAGAGGTTGTTGTGACTTTATTAGAGAAATAATTTTACTTATCACATTCACCCATTTAAAGTACACAATCCAATGACCTTTAGTAAATTTATAGAATTATGCAACCATCTCAACAAACTAATTTTCAAACATTTTCGTCATCCTAAAAAGAACCTCTGCCCATTTTTCATTATTTCCTATTCCTCCTACCACCTAACTCCACCACTAATAATAGATACCACTAATCTATTTTCTATCATAAATTTGGATTTTCTGGACAATTCATATAAATTGTATCATACAGTATGTGAATGTTTGTGCTTGGAATCTTTCACAGAATACAAGATAAGTTCTACCCCTGCTGTAGCATATGTTGATACTTTTGTTTCTGTTCACTGACAAACAGAATTTCCCTAATGGTGACTTTTTGTTAATCCTGATAAAACCTAGTATCAATTTTACTATCAGTTATACTTTGGGCATAATATCTAAGAAACCATTGCATAGCATAAGATCACAGAGATATACTCCTTTGTCTTCTTCTGAAAACATTTATGGTCTCAGTTCTATAGATCTTTGATCCATTTTGAGTTAATTCTAGTGTAAGATATGAAATAAGGGTCCAAATTAACACCTTTAAAATGAGGATATAACAATTGCCACAGTATCATTTATGGAAAAGTCCATCCTTTCTACATTAAATTTGCTTTGTGAATAACCAATTGACT